AAAATTGAAGATTTGTAGTTCCGCCGCACCACATCCACACTAAGTGCTCCATGATTCAATAGGTTAAAAAATTCAACTATGAGAGATGATGTGACCGACTCCTCCTTTGTAACTACCGTACAAATCTGATGATTTCACCACTTTCGAAAACGTTACAAATATCTCTTAGCGATAGCTTTATAACTTCGTCTTGGCGGGACTTACAATTTCCGATCACTATACACACAAGGGCATAACCATTTGGCAACATAGTCGTGAAGTTTTACTTCTTCTCACATTTCACGAATCACACGGTAGTGCTGCTTTGAAAGTACAACTACATCATGTTAAGGTTAAACGTTAATAAACTCGTAAGAATCTTGTCCTTTATGTAGCTGTATACCAACGTTACCGAACGATATACTTCCGGGACTATGACACACGGTCGGTAATTTGTGTCTCAGACCAAATACACTGTACAGTCAGGGGTGTGTCTGACAGCTCCTGAAGGATAAACAGTTTCCATTAGAGCGTTTGCTAGTTGCCCTAATCATAGTGAGGAAGATATCGCTGTCTCCCTTGAGAAGTTGGTGGCAAGTATCTTCGACTGAGCTTATTACGACCAATTCACCGTAGCGCATCATTCTATGGTGTAGCGTTGGTACCGAAATTTGGCTATGTTTATTCGACTATATGAATGCACAAATCGTAAATTGCATCAAACTTTAAATTCCCAAATAAATTGCTCCGAGCGGGAATGGTTTTCTTTACTTCTATATTTGCCTCGTGCTTTTCTCGAATAATAACTTCTGTAATGTTTCTGTGTGAAGCAATATTTACTTCTCAAACTTCGGAGCCAGATATTTCGTCGCAGGTCGAATCAAGCTTCACTTACTAATGCGTGAATAAATGCACGACGGGGGTCCCCTCTCAACGTATTTATAAGCCTCTCACGCAGGCCAAAAGGGTCCGTTAAGCTGCTGTCCAGCTTCTAGCTCTCAGTTCTGTGTATATAATCTCAGGACAGATTCACTCATGACATACATGTGCTCAGCTTTTCGATCCTAAACATAACAACTTCACTACTCTAGAACATTTACGTATAACTCCTCATGATATAGGTTTGATTAGAGTTTCTGCATAAAATAGGATAGCTGAATGACATTTCTATAGGCTACATTAGTCATTACATTCCCGAATAAAAATGTTTTATCTATACAGACACGTTGAGGCTCACCGCTCTTTACGGTAGAGGGGGCAAATCATAGCGCTGAATTGAAGACCTGTCAAATCATCACAAAGTAGGTTAGCTCTTGATCAGTGTAGAGAACGAGATATACAATTGAATATGTAGAGAGGGAACATTTTGCTCTCAATGTAGTTATATTTCGTGTCTGCATTCGATAAGAGTAAATAGCGATCATGATCTAAGTAGCGGCTTTTGGTCGGAATTAAATGGTGATTGAATTATACGCTAAGCATGCCCTGTAGTTTGAGAATTTATATTATATTGTCCAGGAAGCACGACACATAGTAGCTCGTACTCATCTTTATAGCGTATTGCAGTAATCCAACAAGACAACTTGGATACACAATTAGATTTCCATCGGCGCGTCACTCAACCCTATCTCGACATAAAAACATGCTATCAGTCACAACACAAAATAATATTTATCTTTTCATCTTGCAGCTGAAACTAACAATTACGGTGTCACAAGTGCAGCGAGACGATCCTTTTCGCCCACACGACCACAATCATAACAATGCTAGTATTGCTAGACACGGTATTTGGATTTCGATGCTAATAACTCGCTAACACCTTACAAAGCT